TCTCTGAGAGACACATCCTTGTAAGCAACATCTGATAACAATGTTACCAAGCAGAAGCTGAAGTTTTCTGCCACTGGAAGCAAGCCTGCAAAGAAACAGACAGCAAATGAGCCACTTAAGCACTGCTGGAGAACGTCAACATAGAAAGAGCAAATAATAATAAAGGAAGAAGACATAAGTGATTCCCTTGTCATACAGTTCTGAGATAGAATGTAGAAAAACAACATTACATAAAAAATTTAGAAATATACTGTAACCAGTAGAATTTCAGCATGAAATGTTAAAAGAATAATTTAAATAATTGAATTTTTTCCTAGGATTTCAAATAATAATTAAAAAAATACAGTATTACACAAAAGTATTCCTACAGCAATTTCAAGAGATACCAAGTGAGCAAGAAATTAAAGGGTTTAAATAGCAACTAAGCATTTAAGTGAAGAATAGAACGTACAAATCTTAGATTCTACTCTCCTGCTCTAACTGCTATACAATCTTCTCCAATTTAGGAACAAAATATATTGAGCATAGAATTATTGGATAGTGTAATGTATTGCAAAGCAGTCAGGCAAGAAAGGTAGGAGCTACTCAACTTTCTCTCTGCTGCTAAAGAAAATCAGTATTAAAGGCTGTTAAGTCAGGAGGTTAGACTCTAGCAGGACCTGTCAGCTCCCCTTGTACCATGTCCTGAATAACCCTTGTTATTTCTATTTCCTAGCTGTCATACCATAGAAAGATCAAAAAACTCCAAATATCACCTCTGCTTTTCCGTGCATTGCTTTCTTCTATCCATTGGACTTTGGGCAGACCCTTCAGAAGTCGAAGGAGGTATGGAACCACGTTATCTTTGTGCTAAAGAGAAAAACACTCTTCTTAAAATGGAGAAGAAAAGCTGAACCATATCATCTCAAGCTACTTTATAGAGATAGAAAGACTACACTAACCACACACAGAACTTGCTTCTAATGATTACTCCACAGGCTTCTTGAATATTGCAAAATTGATTTCAACACAGGCAAATGAAAATAAACCAATTCAGTGCTATAAATCCAATCCTTTCATTCTAGGCAACAGTTCATGCTCCATGAAAGTTGGAGAAAAAACATTAAGAACAGTAATTAACCCCAAACAATTTATTAATTTACAAGGTCACACAATAATTTTAAGGCATCTAGAAATTCAGAGCACCAGTCCCAATTCAGTACATGTGATCCATCTCATAGCCACCATTTTACACATCTTGTGTAACGCTTCAGCTTCCTAATCTGCAAATCAAAGGGGAACACTTCTCTTCCTCAGAGTTGGATTAATTAATATTAACTGCTGGCTTTGGAAACAAAAAAAAAACCACTACGAAACACAAACAGAACTGCCTTATTTAAACCATACTACAAAAAAATAAAAAACCCCACAACATTAATAACATGCATTCAAAGCTATATCATAGTAACTCAGTATTAAATAGGAAAAACTTCCCGATACAAACCCTAGCAACATTAAACAGCTTAAAGTGAGGACTAATGTCTTTGGACATAGGACTCTATACCCTTCCTTTCCTCTGCATGGAACACCACCACACCCAGGGTTTAAAGGGAAGAGAACCAGCTTGTCATTCACAGGCTGACGGAGACAAAAGGGGTGCTTGCTTACAATGCAGCCCACATGCACTGTCTTTTTATCCTGGGTAGTGTCAGGTATGAAAAGGCCTATTACAAACCTGACATTCAGAAGCATGTAGGGAAGAACAAGCAATGACAAATATGGTTTGAGCAAATCCTCCTGAACAGCCTCTTTTCTCTCCATGAGCCATCATAACCAAAAAACACGACAGCAGTTTGGCTGTGGCAGTGCTGACACACTTGTCAGTGCTGTCCTCATTTCCTTTTGCTCTCCTGCCTGCATCCATCTGTTCTCTCTGATCGTTTTACTTATTTTTATGAAAAGTAAATACCAAATTTCCATTTTCACTGAACAACTAAACCTGAATTCACGCATAAACTTTCACGTTAAACAGAGTTATAGCTTAAGCAGGAAAAATACCTGAAGGTCAGATTCAATTAGAAAGATTCCTAAAGCAATCACAGCATCTCTGCGACGCTCATCTAACTGGAAAATCCCGTGGAAATCCACTGGACACATACAGAGCAGTTTTTGTACCTGAAAAACAGCAGAGGGAAAGAACAGTGGAATAAGACTGAAACTGTCACAACCACCCAAGAGAACAACAGTCAACGTGTTAAAACCGTCTTTTACAAGCCCACCAGCAGACCTCAGGGAAGCAAACAATTGGCTCCCAACTCCTTCTTTATGGCACAGCCCTAGGGCCCAGCAAGCAACGGGCCTGGGGAGCAATGCTACAACTGCAGATGTTTTCAGAGCAGAGGAAGCAGCTGGCTGTGCTTTTCAAGACTCATTCCTGTGCTTGAAGTGGACAGTAGTCTTTCCACCTTCTGGAAGACAGGTGGCCACATTACTCTCCTTTAGTCATCAATCTTAATGAGAGCATCTAAAGGCGAGGAAAAAGTGATGAACGACAGAAACTAAAGACAGAAAAATCTCAAGTCAAACATTTTTACTACAACAGGGGTCAATTTAAAAGTTTTCTTCAACACTTGATCAAGTGTTTCCACATTTCAAAAGAATTTCTGAAACTTTCAGAGCATCACATTCACAAAGCTCATTCCTGCATCCCTGCTACAACAAAGCCTTCCTTCCACTAATTCATTGAGCATTTTGGATGGGCAAGAAATATGCAGCAGGCACATACGTTACATTAACTCCATTCCTGTGAACAAAAACTGGGCGGATGGAGCTTTGGTACAGCTGCATCAATGCCTTCTGCATATACAGCAATGAAAAATAAACTGTCACCTAGCTGGATATGGCTTTTGCTCAAATCCTTTTTTAACACAACAGATTAAGTTTCAAGAACTATTATTTTCTCACTACTTACCTATTATTTCTCTCCGTAGCCTGCAAACACGCATCTAAAAAATACAGTGAATCTCCCAAAATCTCCCAAATACTCCTCCCCCATGGAACTGTTAAGAAAGGGAAAATGCCACAAGCATATTGTCTTTTGATAAATCCCCTTGATGTTAATAAATATTACCTTAAATGAACTGTCGTAATAAATAACTATGTTTGAATACCAAGCTACTTCTGACTTAGATAACTCTTTAAACACTCCACCTCTAAATCTCTAAGCCAAGAAACTATTTCCCTAGAGAATTAGAAGAATTTACTGGATGCTTTGTGGAATTCAAAACTCTGGTCCTTAAACTGCGACACCTCCGAATTACAAGACCTGTAACACAACACAAATAATCCTCAACAGAAAACACCACAGAGGGAATACGAACTTTGTAAAGCAACTTCTGATGTGTATGTCCCACATCAGGTTAGTATCTAAGGTAATATGAATGAATATCTTCTGCTAGATAAGAACTTTTAATATCATTTAAGTCTTGGAAGGGAAAGGAAAGTCCGTGGATATTAGTCAACCAGCAGCAAAGCTTAAAAGAAAGTTATTCAGAGTTGGCTGTCAGACTAATAGCAGACTCCCAGAACAAGAACGAAGAAGCCTGCACCACCAGGCTGTCCACCTTCTGCCCCCTGCAGGATCACCATGCTTGACCATGGCAGCTGCTCCGTGCCAGCAGCGTAGACCCATGAGGGGAACTACCCAGATGGAGATCCCACTGGTCTGGTTTGACGTTCAGGAGAGGTTTATCTCCACCAGGCACATTTTATCTTGAGCTGATTCTATCGCTTGCATTTAACCAGATACAAAGTAGAGCAACCAGCCCCAATTAGACTGAGACTAATTACATCTACGAGACTGTGTTCCACAAACTCAGGGACATGCAACTGCTGTGAGGACCCACGCTCCTCATAAGGACATGGGGCCTGTTCCAACAGCACCGGCCACGGCTGCTGCGGCGACACCTCCTTCAACGACGGTGGTTTTGGGTCAAGATGGGCTACGGGAGCGCCTCACAGGCCCAGCGGCCCCCACTGCCACAGGACAGCCCTCACTGAGGAGAGCGGCATCCCCCGGGCAGCGACACACACCCACCGGCGTGCCTCCAAACAGCACAGGGCCAAGGGAAGCGGCCCCGACCGCGCACCTCACCCAGGGCCACAACCCGACACCCTCCCCGCACACCCGGCACAAGCTTTCCCGCAGGAAGGGCCGGGACCCCCGCCTCCCGCCGCGGCTCCCATCACGCCGACTCTTCCACGCAGACTCCACACGTGTGACAGACAGAGACAAGCCCGGCTCGCATGACGACCCTCCACACCGCAACTACGCGGCTCCCACACACGACAGCCCCAAAGCGCCACAGTCCTCGCAGACGGAACCCCCACACGATCCGCTCCTCACCTTCTCCAGCGGCGCGGGGTTCTGCACCGCCAGCGACCGCGCCAGCGACAGCACCGTGTTGAAATAGAAGCCGCGCGCGGTGCCGGCGCTGCTCCCCCGCCCGGCACCCGGGCAGGGAGCCGCGGCCGCCGCCGCTGTGGTGCTGGCCGCAGCCGTGGCCGCTGTCGCAGCAGCCGCGGCTGCCGCTGCCACCGCCGCGGCCGCCATGTTGTGATGGACTGCCAGGGGCCGCCCTCCCGTCAGTCAGCCAGCCCGCCCCGCCTTCCTCTCGCGAGATCACCAGCTCGCTCGGGATCACAAAGATGGCAGCGTCCGCGGCGGCTTCATCGCTCCGCCCCTCGCCGGTGCCCCTCCCTCCTGCTGCACTGCCCAAGGCCCCGCTCTACAAATGGGCTCCCCCGGCGCCCTAGTGCTCCCTCCCCCGCCGCGATGGTTCCTCCCAGTAACCGCCTATCCTTCAGCGCTGCTCCCGTGTGCCCAGCCCGTCCCGGGGAGGGGAGGCGTACGCGGTGGTTCCGCCCGGCGCGCAGGGTCGGCCTGTGGGCGGAAGGACGGGCGAGGGCCGCGGACTGAGGGGACGCAGCCCCGGAGCGGCCGCCGTTAGGAGCCACCGCCGTCCCCAGCAGCATGTCGGGCCTCCCGAGGAGCTATAACCCCTTCGCCGAGGACGAAGAGGCTGAGGCGGTGTCGCCGTGGTCGGCGAGCGGCGGCGGGGAGGCGGACGGCGCCTCGCGGCAGCGGTACCTGCAGCAGGAGGTGCTGCGTCGCTCCGCCGCTACCGCCGACAGCACCACCCGCTCCCTCTCGCTGCTGTACGAGTCCGAGCGCATCGGCGTGGCCGCCTCTGAGGTGGGTCGCGGAGCGGGGATGGGGACGGAGACGTCGGCCCCGGGGGTGTCGCGACGTACCGGCCGGGGGGATGACAGTGTATTGTTCTTCTTCCCCCCCTCCCAAGCACCTCTTTCCACAGTTGTTTCGGACACAGTGTATCTCTCTGCGCCACTGCGGGCGGGTTTTATGGGTGGAGGCGCGTTTGGAGGGTGTTTTTGAGGTGAAAAAGAAACAACGCTTAGACCCTGGCTGTGCATCGCAGGCTGTGACTCGGATGTGGTGTCAGCTGTTCATTAAGCAGCTCCAGTCAACTCTTACTAGGACTTATTAATGGCATTTGCACCTATTTTTGTCCGACTAAAAAGTTTTCAGTAGTTCTCTCGGCTAAATGAAGAGCCTGCCCTCTTGGCTGTTTGTGATGGCCTGGCTTTGTTCTGATTAATCATTTCCTTCATTCTTCTGGCCGTGTTTCAGAAGTTTGTCTTTAGAGGCATCGCTCAGAGAGGCCTTGTCCACTGTGTCACCTGCTAATGGGACATTTCCTTCAGCGTTAGTAACCAAGAGCACCCACAGACTGCAGGAGGTGCTTATGCTGAAGAGGTTTCTAGGTGGCTCTTCACTGAACTTGTGAGTTGTTTGCCCAGAAAAGCACGAAAGAAGCTCACAACCCTTGAATCGTGTTTGCGTCTTTATTCAGGGGAGAAGAAGAATATTCCACTGGAATTCCCCAAAGTTTAGAGAGAATATGAGCACAAGTTTTTTGTTTTGCACTCATGTGAGCTGCACGTGAGTTTCCTGTCAGAATTAATCTTTGGATTACTTTGGAATAATATTTGTGTTCTTGACTTAGAAAATAACGTAACTGTATATATTAACATTTCTAAACTCTGCACTGTATGTACTTGCACTGCTCAAGTAATGGTATGAAGAAATCATACTTTGATTTATCGCCTTTGGTTATTCTGTTTCTAAGTTACCAGGAACATCCCAGTAATGTCAAAAGAGTATCACTTCCCAATGAAGGTGTCATCCTCAACTAGGAATACTTCTGCTTGCTCATTTCCCTGCTGCAAACCTTTGCATTTTCACTACATCACCCATCTGGTGCCACGCTTTTTCCATCAAGAAGAGACACAAATATCAACCTGACAAAAGACCAATACAGAAAATTCCTGGATGCTCTTTGTAGTAGGAATTGAGAACCTGGCGTTGTGTAGTGATGAGAATATTATAGCTGGCTAATGTAGCTGATAAGCAGCTCATGACTGAAAGGCCCTGGGGGAAGAGGAGTGACTGAAAAAGCTGTATGCCTTCAGAAATAATCTACATGGGATGATGGAACTGCTGTTTTTCTTCAGAGAGTCTCTTAAATGTTTGATGTTTCAGTTTACTGATGCTTCCGTTCATCTTGGCTTAACTACTTCTCTTTTCCTCTTGGTATCTGTTAGGAGCTTGTACGACAAGGAGAGGCACTGAAGCGCACCGAGCAGATGGTAGATAAAATGGACCAGGACTTGAAGACTAGTCAAAGGCACATAAATAGCATTAAGAGTGTTTGGGGGGGCTTGGTGAACTACTTCAAAGCCAAACCTCCAGAGAACAAGCCAGAGCAGAATGGAACGTCTGACTATTATGCTAACAGTAGGTAAGGAAAATCCATTTTTTATTTGGGACTTATCTCCCACAGCATCTCTGAAATGTCATCTCAAAATTGGAACTTAAAAGATCTGTTGATTTGGGCAAGCAGACTCCTGAGATGGTGTCTAGCTCCCTATTTCCTTGTAACTCTTAGGAGAATATTTTCACTTCTATTTATAGTGGTAAGAATAACACTGAGAAATTAATTTGAACAGTTACAGAAAATTACACAAGTGATTCTTCACTCTTCTGAATTATCATGCTTGCTTCAGTCATACCAGGAAGCCATGATCTGTAGCACTGACATGCTTCCAGCCAAGTATTATGTGTGCTTCTTCAGCTTCTACTAAAAGCTGTACATAGAAATTAATTGCTGTGAAATTAGTGTCTCACAGTACTTGTGTCTCTTCAGCTGAGGAATTTGTGTTAAGGCTGGTAGTGGTGCATGGATTGATTTCCTCCTTCCCTTTCCCTCCATTCTCCACTAGCAGAAAGCAATGGGTTGCCTCCAAGATGGAAGATAACAGTTTTGGTTTTGATATCTGAGTTACTTTCAGTGCTAAAGTTCTGCTTTCACTGAAGACAAATGCTAATAGTTTATTTTAAAGTGATATGTTGCATCTGGTGTAATAAATATGCTGCTTTTGTGCTAAGTGTGATACCTATTCTCTAATAGATTGAGCGTGAGGATTGTGGTCCATAGGAATGTTTTCTTTTTATTCTTTGTTACTAGGTTAAAAGAAGCCATGATGTCTAGTAAAGAGCAAGAGTCAAAATACCAGGAAAGTCATCCAAATTTAAGGAAGCTAGATATAGGTTTGTAACTTTATTTTACACTGTCTGTCATCAACGCAGGGTGAAGGCAGAGACCCTTCAACTTGCCCAACTGCTGGCTTATGTTGCTGCTTAATGTCCGGAGATCTGTATCCCAGCCTTCATGGCTCTGAATTCTAGTGAACTGTTTTCCCTAAATCTCTTTGTAGCCAAGAATCCATATAACAGGCAGGCAGCCTTGCTTGCCAAAATGTTAACATGCATGTGGAGGTGGTTCTTTTTAACCATCCCTTGTCATAGTTTTCAGATATATTTTTCTTGTTATTTCAAACAAGGACTATAATACTTCACACTGAAGTCATTACTTGATTCATGCAGGGAAGTATAGGGGTTTGATCTCATTCCTCATTCTCACTGCATCTTCTGTGATGACTTCTGTGTATAAAACAACTGCTCCTTTTTAAAGTGAAGTTCAATTTAGTTTAGCAAGAGTAAGAAAGCAGCAAGAGTAAGAAAGCTGCAGGGTATCTTTACAGTTGTAGTCCTGTACATAAATAAATGCTTTTTTGGTAATGTAAATCTCCATTCCACATCGCGTAGTATTAAAAGGCTGGCCAATAGAGGGCAGAAATAACTCAACTCTGGTGGTTCATCCTGGGGGTACACTAACTGTGCTGGAAGTTACCAGCCCACCTGCTGTGTTACTTGGGTGGCTGGGTTTGTTTTGTTCTTACTATTCCCAACTAAGCAGCAGAAATACAAAAGGCTGCCCAAAACAGAATAACTGTAGCTTAATACCTGTTCATTTTGCGGGATGCCCTATAGATAGCACTGTTGGACTACTTTTGATTCTTCTGCTAACAGGTTATGTGATTACATAGCAGCTGTGGTCAGACCCATTTTTAATAACCCTTCTAAAACTTTAGAGCATCTTCTTACCAGCTTTTATCTTACATAATGTTTTGTACTTTATACTCTTTATAGACAATGATTTCAGCAAAACAGATTCAGTTTCTTCAGGGCCAAGGGATTCCTATCCGAAGAACCAACACCTGCGTGCTTACCACCAGAAAATTGATAACAACTTAGGTGAGTGTGAGAACTGATGCTGTGTCATGTGATGTAATTCTCAATTTTTGGCTCTTCAGCCATGGAAAATTACTAATATGTTGCCAATGAACACTTTTTAGTTTAGTTCACAGGTGGAATTTGATAATTAAAATTGTTTGCTTGTATTTTGCATTTCAAAACTGTCTACATGGCAGAATGCAAAGCTTGATTGAAACATACATTATTTGAATGGTGGAATGCTGTGGGGTCTGTCTGTCAACTACTTGTAAATACTAATAACAAATCTGAGTTAGAAAAGCATTTCACCTGAAACCAGCTAGAGGGAAAGTGGCTAGGAAGCCTGGAAGTGAAAATCTGCTGTGGCAACTGATATGTTATTGGCATTAATACTTCAAATTCTTTTTCAACATGCTTGTGCTTTAGAAATTGATAGAGCTGTCTCTGAGTGAAGAGACCAAGGAGGGAAAAAAGCCCACACACCAAAAGCATGAGTCCTCTTAGATCCTTTACTGACAGTAAGGAAAACACTCTTACCAAATGTGTGTATGCTGGTAAATATATTGTTTGAAAGAGGAAGTGGTGCTTAAGTATCTTAACAGTTGCAATTCAAGATAAGAATGTTTCTCTGAATCGTCCTGTAAGTTGACTGGGATATCATTGGGACAAACAGGCTTATCTGTTCTGAAAAATCTTACTAAGCAGGTGTAGCAGTATTATAAGAAAGACTGCTTCAAATTGACATCCACATTATACCAGCGTGCAGACTTATTGCCTCTTTTTCTAAAGTTTGCTACTTACATTGAAAGATGCACTCAACTTACCTGACAGTTAAACTCAGATATTACATTGCACCTCAGTTTGGACCCAAGGAATTTATAACTGTGTGCAGCTTTTGAAATAAACCTGTTTCACAGAAAATGGAAGAATTGAAGGACACTAAATACTTGATTTGTGAATTTGCTGAGTTGCTTTCATTACTTCCCCAAACCATTCAGCTGACTTTCTCTTCCTTTGTTCTGCAGCATATATACAAAGTGCCTCTTTGTATATATGTGTTTACATGTGTTGCCGTTTAGCTGACCTAGAAATAAGAGATTGGAAAGAAATCAGAAAGGAATGGATCAAAGAGAAATAGTCAAGCATAAGAGTTAGAGGAAGCACATTTGTTCTACTCACAAGCTGTGCAAAGCATATTAGTCTCAAAAGCATTTACCAGTCAATCATGCAATAAAATAGTTTCCCTGTAGCCAAATTAGAAATCTGGAAATGGGATTCTTTATGTTAAATAACTGCTTAAATGGTCAGTGTGTTGGTATCTCTGCATGATGTTTACAGAAAAGCAATTGACTTAGCATATTAAGTATATTGAGAAAGAAAGTGCTCAATTTCATATTTTATATATATAAAATATAAATTATATATATAATTTTAAGTAAAAACTACATTACGGGGTATGTCCCTTTATAAAGGTCCAATTTGGCTTTAAGCATCTGCAGTTAACTTGGAAGAAAGGAAGTGATTATTTCTGGTAGCAATGCAGTGGAAGTATTAATATATCGGTGCTTCCCCTGCTGGAGAAAAACACTCAGACTTGAGCACTTGTAACTAACATTTTCTGACTCGGGGTTTGGAGAAGAGGGAATCCTGACAACATCCATTTAAGCAGTATGCTTTATATGGCCTTGATTCCTTATGGTCACTCTCTTTGTTGACAGATGAGATGTCTTCTGGGTTGAGTCGTCTGAAAAACCTAGCTCTTGGGCTGCAGACAGAAATAGATGAGCAAGATGATATGCTGGATCGGCTAACAAAAAAAGTAGAAACACTGGATGTCAATATTAAAAGCACTGATAAGAAAGTCCGACAACTTTAAAGCATTTTTAGATTTTTTTTTTTTCTTGTCCAGCATCAGTTTTTGGATGTCTCATCTCAACCCATCGCTTACAAAATCTTGGACAGTATCTGCTTCTCTTTGTTTCTTTTATTGATTTTGTTGTCATTAAAATTGCATAATCTTAAATGCAGCTTAATACCTTAACTTTCTTCTTCATGGGAAGTGCATGTTGAGTAAAATCAGCAGTTGGGTCAATGCTTTTGTGCTGGGTACCCCGTGCAATTGTGTAACTGTGCGTCATGTGCGTGGAGGAATTTGCAACCTACAAAGCTTCAGTGTCCTTGGCCTGGGAGCCGTGATGAGCAAAGTAACTGCATTTTGCTTCTGTTTTGAGGAGGGGATGGGGGAACAGAATGTGCTTCTTCGTTCAGAGCAAATGTTGCTGATTCTGTTTACCTGCAGCTATGTGAAGTTCTAACAAAATGCCGATTTCCAGCTGTAAAGATAATTTGAAGTAACTGCTCTCTGGCTTTCTGGGGCTTAAGGAATGAACTGTTCTGTGGAAGTTGTAAAATACCAAGGGTGTCATGCAGTGATAATATCCTGTGTGTGTGTTCGCTTTCCTGAGATGACTTTTACCAAATGGTGGCTCCACAAACTACGGTTTTATATTTGGGTCACTAAATGCCATCACCTTTACAGTGCTTTCAGTAAGTTCTCTAAAGGTAACTTATGGTCTGCAAGAAATGCTGACAGTGACTCCAAGTGTGAGTAACAAAATCAGAACTTAAATGTTCTGTGTATGTGCTCTTAAAAATTCTTTTGTAGAAATTGTCACCATTTGCATTTTTATTTCCTGCTCTTTCTCAGTTTATTCAGTTAGGTGGGTATTTGAAAAATAGCTTCCATTTGAGAAATGGAGAGTTGGGCTGATACTGCACATACAGATCATAGGAGATTGTTATTTGAGTTCACGTTTATTACAAATGTGATTAGGGATTGAGCAGATGTTGCATTTTCCTAAGTAATGTGACTGGTTTTAAGGAACTCGGGTATGGTTCCCATACTTCCTTGTTAGCTTAGCAGGTATGAAAAGTTCCTGAAAATGAAGAACTCAAACATTTTGAGTCTTCCAGATAGAAGTTTGGCCTTGCACTTTGTTTTATTCTTGTATTAACTATCACTGTAGAACAAAATAATTACAATTCCATCCCAGCCTGAAGACATGACAATGAGAACTTGCTGTCTGGAAAACAAGGAAGTTATTTTGGTTTGGAGAGGCCAAGAGACCTGTATCAGTATTGCAGCACTTGCTATCAAGTGACAGATTGTGGCTAAGGAGAGATAGTTACTTTTATTGAGTTGGTGCCATGTTATCTTGTGAATTAAAGGAAGACCTTGGTGTTCAGGGCTATCAAGCTTGTAACCTTCATGAACACCACATTCACACCCTCCCCTTTCCTCCTCCGCCCCCAAGGAATTTGTTACCTTGAGCTCACTTGCTACAGAGTGAACCCAATAGTTGAGATGAAAGAAAACTTGAGCCTTTCTTGTTTTCCTGTGTCTCTTGAGACTTCACTTGTAAATCACTAAAAATGCTACACTTCTTGGACATAGTTTCTTACTAAAGAAACTATTTCTGGGATTTCTACCAAAGAAGAGTTGTGAATTAAAGTGAGCCCCTGCTTCCCCTTATGGTACTGATGTCATTCATTTAGGTCTCTAAAAAAATGTTTTGCAGGGACATAAAACTTCAGCTTTTGAGTACCTTGTGAGCTTACTGAATACCTTTAATTGATTTTAATTTTTCACTGTCATTTATGCTCATTTGGAACCATAGGAAACCTTATTAATATGAGTGTATCCTCTAACTTTTTTGGGTGTATACCATGACTAATTCTCTTTTACTCTGTTAAAGTATTTATGAATTCTGTGATTGGTGTTGATGGCTGATACTTTTTTTACTACTTTTTTTTTTTTAGCAAATGATACAATCATTACTTTCCAAAATACCTCTGTGAAAGAATATTGAAATTTGGATTATACCTGGTTTAGTTTAGTTGACTTTCTCCTTTTATTAAAAGGGTGAAGAGGCTTGTATTTTTAATGCTGAGTAACAAAAACACTTGCATCTTGGAAAGGATGTCTAAATTCTTTCCATAAGAGAGAATATAAAAAGTTGCCTAAAAATGTATAACACCTTGTAGTGTGAAATCTGCTGTCACCTGTATGGAACTACTGTTTTCCAAAGTAAGACTTTACTAACTAGGATGTATGCTGAGACTTCTGATTGCATTATGGTTAATGGAGGAGAAGTATAGCTGGAGGATCTAGTTATGCATAATAAGAAATACAGAGCTTGAATCCAAGCAGGTTTGTTTTTATGTAAGAGTGAAGTGTGCTGCCTTTCTGGTGTAAGCTCTTCCATTCCTTTAGTCTAAATTATTTCACAAAGCAAAGTTGATTTTTTTGGTGAACTCTTGTATTAGCCTTGTGAAATGTTTACTGCATCCTGGATACCTTTGATGCCTTTAAAAACATAGGCAGGGAAGGGAAAATAAAAAAAGCCCTATTTCTGCTTTGAGAACCTCATCATCCAAGCAGAACATCAGGATTTCAGCCATGTGGAAGTTATACAGATGTCTAACTTCTTGTCTCTTCCAGCAGTCCCATTCACTGTATCGGTTGTATATGTCTCTGCTGAGGCTTTCCTGCCCTATTTGTTGTTTTTTTTTTTTTTAATGGCCTTGTTTTAAAGGATTATTTCCCATATTGGATTTCTTTCAGGGGGAGGGCGGGGGGGAATGCTGTAGATTGTGCATGGATATAACTTAATTTCTGCTACAAAGTGAATTTCTTTTCTCTGCTTTCATGCAGATGCTCTATGCTGATAAAGCAGTTAAGTCTAATTGACATAGAGATACCACTGTCTTAGACTAGCGATTAAGTTTTTTGCTTGTTAGAATAACTTTCCATCATGCACAAAGGGGAAGTTTAAACTAAAAACACCACCTGATTTTTGCCTTTCTAGGAAACGTCATTTTGTACCTGTTAGGAAGAACTTAGGTCAGTAGCTTTTCTTATTAGAAAAGTTTTCTTACTAGTAACACTAGATAGTCTTATTTCTTCTTGGATACTGCTGAGAAACTTATCTTGTGTAGGGTCTAGGACTTTCAGTGGAACTACAATTTGCACTCAAGTACTAACCTGATAAGTAATTTTGCCTGAATAGTCGCATTGGGCATAGAAATTGGTGCCCTTGCATTAAAATAGCTGTGGTTAATTCATTCTTATTTGCTTGAGTAGAAGTTTAATATTAAGGTCAGAAGAAGTCAGTAGGAAAAAAAATACAGCCTTTATAAAAGGCAGTTTTCTTGCTTCAAGTGGCTTGCTAATAGATTTTGAAGAGGTTTTAAACACCGGGAAGTAGCATACCCTTCATAACATAGATATAAGACACTAGAAACAGCAAACAAAAAAGGGGGAATAGCCAGTATCTGACTCTTAGCTGTATCTGATTTTTAAGTTTCCTGAGGATTGAGTTAAATATTGTAACAACTGATGTGTGGCTGAATTTGTACTACAAAGGTCTGTTGCTGTGCTGAACTCTACTGGCCTACTGAAATCACTGGGACACTATGAATCAGGTTGGGTTTTTCCAATGTGTGAAATTCATCTGAAATATTTTGCTGCCTTGTAGTTTTGTGATGTCATTTGTTAAATGGTGAAATAGGAAACACTTGCCAACCACTCTGCCTTCTGAACAAAAGAAGTTTTGTAGGCATTTTTACAAGCATACCAGGGTATGTGTTAATTTTTACTTTGAAACGTAGGGGCTTATCTTCAAAATCACAGGTAGCGATTATTTGTGTCTGGCTTTTTTAAATACTACTTTAATTCTGTGCCACCCAGGTATAACACTTTATACATGTCAATTTAAAGTATCTGTTATTTAAATGCTTAACTGGGCTGTAGTTCAGCAATTTAGGAAATGGATTAAGTGTTGAATGTTAGACTGTCAATAAAGGTGCTTATTGTTAATGAAGAGTTTTTGCATTTATTTCCCAATATTCTTTGATTACAACTTTATTGACACTTTTTTCCTGTAACGAGGTCTGTTCAAAGGCTGGAACTACTCTGTCAAGTCTGTGCCAGACTGGAAATAAATTTGCAGCTGGTGGGTTTTGGTTTCTGAGAATAAGCAGAGTGTTACCTTTCTACTTGACTCTTAAGTAGATTCTTTTAGATCCTGGAAGAGGAATGTAAACAGGCATTTATTTTGCAGAACTTTGACTTGTGATAGTAAAATAATTCAAGATACTGCTTGGAAAGTAATCTTGCCGTACTGCTTGATATTACCAGGAATATCATAAACTAAGTGGATGCATGAACAAGGCAGGCAGAGCATCAGTAAGGCAAAAAGGGTATGCACCATCTTCAGAACTGAAAACCAACAGGTATGTAATAATCCCGTGTCATCCCAAATGTGCTGATGGCAGAAAACTCCAGAATGTCCTGACCTTCAGTTAGGTTCCTATCTGTATATGAAGCGGAGGAGCTTGGCTTCTGGGAATGTTTTTGTAGTGAAGTTGACTTAATTTTGTTTGATACCATAAAGCAGAGATTCAGAAGTGCTATTACAAAAGCTTGGAAAAGAGAAAGTCAATACACTAGAGAGAGATTGACAGGCTTCTTAAAACACAGATAACTTTGTTTTGCTGCCTTTGTGCTGAGAGTTCTTCAGCAAATGGCGACCAAGAGCTCTTCCATCTCCGCACCTTATTGTTGCATACAGAAAAAATACTGTGAAGAGCACAATGGAAGATGGTAGAGAATGGAGCAGTGTAGTGGATCCTGGATCTCTGCTGGGGATGTCAGCTTGCTCAGCTTGCATGAAGAATATGAGTCTTTGAAGAGAGTATCTCAGATCTATTTGCTTAAGGCTGGTCAGGCATTTCAGCCCTTCTGTGCTTTCTCAAGGACTTGCTTACAGTGCAGTCCTTGCCTTTCTGGGAAGTGAGAGAGGGAAGGGGAGCTAACGGATGCTCATGTGAGTGTGTAAAACCAGGCAGAGCAGGTGCAGTTTCAGTGAAGGACCCCCATGCTTCTGCTGCTGAAAAGGGGTTTGGTTTTAGGAGGGGGTTCTACAGTTTGTTGTTTTGGTAGGTGGTTGGTTGGTTTCTTTGCTTCCAAATAAATACATCTTCCCAAAATGGGAAAATATGAAGAAAACTGCACTGGGGCAGAAGTGAAGGCTTGGGAAGGCTCAGTGGCAAGAAATCAGGGAGGTGCCCCCAGAATAAACAGACTCCCAAATCAGGAAGATCCCTGAATGCCAGGCAGAGATTTTGGAGCCCTGCCTCAGCTATAAAAAGTCTAGATGGATTGTGACTTTGCTGTTAGTGAAGCAGAACCTTCTAGAAAATGGCCTTCCAGCTCAAGCTGAGGATATTTTGGGGAAGACAATGGGCTTCCTTGGCATCTTCATTCTAGATGGTCTTCCTTTTTCCTCCACATTAATTGTAAATCTGTTGTTTCTGTTAATGGAGAGCAGTCACTTGCCAATGGCGAGTTCTGCCTACACTTGGAAGAAACCCTTGCCCAGGTCCTGTGTGTCTCAGCCTTCCAGGGTCAGCAGGAGTATGAAGGGTGCCACTAAAGCTGTGCTGTGTGTATTAACCCTTCAGTGTAGAAAGAAAACAGAGCGCAGAAGGTTTGGAATGTGTATGTCAGTTGCTGACAAGCCTAGAGGGTGGGAGCCTGCCCAAAGACGTTTATAATTTCACATCGGGCATGTTAGACCTGTTGAGGGAAATAACAGAGTTTAATTAATTCTCTCTTGGCTTTACTCAAAATTTCTTACTGACATTACAGATTTTGTAGAATTCTGTAGAATTTCTGGGCAACCCCAGTGTTAGTTTGCATCTGATGTTTGTTGGCTAGCTGGGGCTTACTGGCTAGCTCATCTGAGTGCCTTTCAAGAAAAACTCCTGCAGGAATTCCCTTGTGTGAAGCAACTGAAAAGGGTGGTGATGCAGTCTGCTTTTGGCTTCCAGTAAGATCCATAGCAGCATCAGTACAAAGCTATTGCATACCAACACTCAGAACATCAGGTTCTGAGATTCTTTATTGCCCTATTTTCACCACTGCCTTGTGCATGGATCAGCCAATGTGTTCATATCTCTGCCCACTGGTCCTTTAGGAGGATGATGACAGGATGTTCCTTCCCTCTTTTGAGTGAAGTCTAGGCAGAGAAGCAGCCAAGGAATCCAACAGTACAATATAAATAGTAAGGTTGCAAAACTGCCATGTACGAAAGCAAAGGTTAAAATCTGATTGCATTCACCTGCCCACGGAGAAAGCTTTGCGAGGTAAGGGCAGCATCCTGCTAACAGCACTGCAAAGGAGACCCATGAGTCATCTTATCTGCTTCATCATACAGTGCTAAGTTATAGGCTGTTGGCATTCTGCCACTCCATGTTCAATTGTGACAGAGCCAGATAGAGAATATTAATTAGAACACACAGTATTGTGATAAGGAGAGGAGAATATTCTTTCCTAAACGACATAGTTGCAGTAATTCAGTGATGGGTTAAATTTTGTTGGTACATGTTTAGCAGGATCTCTAATGAACTAAAAGTGAACTGCAATATTAAGCAAAGTGCAGGTGAGAAAATGAGCTTGTTGGGGTACTGACACCAACCTTAGTAAGCTGCAGAACAACTCCAGTGTGTCACAAACTGACATCTGACACACAGCAAAAGTAGCCTTGTTCTCCAAAGACATAAAAATGGCCTTAGAGCTATGAAAGTGCTTTAGAATGTCTGCTTTCTCCCTCCCAATTAGGTGGCAGACTTTCCTATTGAGCAAAAATATCATGGGGAAACTTTGTGCTGAATTATAGCAGAAAATAACAGATTCCTCTGCTTTTTATGCACACACTTTCTCTTAATGCCCACTTGTATCAGTCAGGGGAGTATCTTCCCATACCAGTACTGTTTCAGAAGTTCATGTAAGTTGTAGTCTAGCTTCTCTATCTGATCTTTCCTAATTTCTGACTTTGAAGAGTTTTTCTTTTCCTCAGCCGTATCCCTCAGCAGTTTTATGTGCCATCCAAGCAATGAATTCATTACTCAAATTTGTGTGATTTAGTAATTTCCTGGCACAATGATTCCAAAACATGTGGGAGGAAAAACAGAAGGATTTTTCCATCTCCAGGTGTTTACTGCCCTAATCCTTGCTCTTGACCATTCTGAATGGCTTTTTGTAGAGCTGCATTTCTACTGCTTGTCAAGTGTAGTGTCTGAGAGACCATGCAGTCAGAGTGTCCAGCTGAAGATGATGGGAAGGAAGCTCATTCTGATGTACCTCACCACTCTTGCATTTCTAGCTTTGAACTTCTGGAGCTGTTTTCCACAATTTCCATAAGATGAAAAGCATCACTTTTTTTCAATTGCCTGCTTTACTAATCAGTGTTTGAGATGCAATATTGAGGCTTTATTCCCTACTCAAGCAAACATGCTGAGTTTACAGTGGCAGCCTGCCAGAAGCCTCAGGGGTTCACCTGTGCCGAAGTGAGGTAAATGAACAGCACACCCAAAGCAGCTCTTCACTGTGGGATACAGCAGCACACTAATGGTCTCCATGTGTCACTGGACACCACATACCCCACCAGCTAGTGGCAATGACAGAGCAGTGTGAATTGGGTGCATTAGGAGGCAAAAAGCCAGTCTTAATTCAAGAATGTACTTATTTATGAAATTGATGTGTATTTATGTTGAGTGTCACAATAAAACCGTTAAGCTTCCTTACATATTTGCAGTTGGACATGTGTAGACTTACTGCTGAGTCAGCCTGGCCATGTGAGTGACCTGTGTGGTTCTCCAGGGAATGTCTCTGCTTCCCCAAGCGCCTCCAGTATCAGGGTTACGAAGCCAATTCCTGTAAAAACATTTTCGTATTTGAGAGCATCATTAATTCCAATTTACCCTTCCTTGGTGTAGTGATAAATAATGGAACTAGATAACATTAGAAGAGACATTTGTTCAGCCTCTACAAACTTCTTACATACCTGCCCAAAAATGCTTAGAAGGAGCTGTCATAAGAAAAGGAAGAGAACTTCTGGCAACAGTCTCAGATGCTCTGTTGTTTAATTGTTCAGTCATCTGTAGGCCATGTAGTATAATGTAGTTTTATTTTTACTCTCATCAACTGCTTTGCTGTTTTAGTACCCCTGTCTTCAGTACGGAGTGACTGGAAGGTTGCCAAGTAAAGGGAAATCTGTGTCTGAACAGCCGGGAGGGATAATATGTAAATCTGTTGGAAAGAGGCAATTAAAGGCAGTGTTGAGATATAATGGAAAATAGACAATATTGAGCTTCTTCAGAAAAGTCAACGTAAACAGCAGCTACTGTACTACATCTCTGAAGTGAACTTGTTGCTTTAAATAACTGCATTCTACAGAAAACAGATGGATCATGAAATCTGTGAGCAGGCTTCCAGAAAACAGTTTTGGTCTTCAGGAACATGTCCATGTTGATGTTCAGTGTGCCCTCCTGGCACAACAGGACTAAAGGCGGCTTCTCCTGCTGTTGTATTTACATAACACGGAGAGGAGCTGGAAACTTGGATTACATGCAAGACAAATATAGCTGAAAATAATACTGCATGTCATATGTAACTATGAATGGACATGAACAGAGAGGAAGTGCTATCTGAGATAAGCAGTACAATAAGCGCAGCCTTCATTGCTTCGTAACCCAACAGATGAGGAGGTAACACACCAGTGAAACAAATCAGGAAGCCCTGACTAACCAGAGGGACCATTCTGACAGTTTACCAGAATCTTGGTGTCACCACCAAATCCAGCTGCATGGGATTTTTACAAGAGTGGGTGGATTGGGAAAAGTCGGAGCATTCCAAAATATTTAACTTTTTATTACAAATGAGGATGGATTCAGGCTGGTTTAATCTTACAGCCTATGTTTGACTGCCCTTGTTTTGAAATCATTGATCAAAAAGCTCAAGATTTCCTGTATTCTACCAGACATTTATGCAGCTGCTTGTTGGCCCCCTTTGTGACTGAACATGATCAGTCACAGCCCAGACATTGCAAATCAAGCTCCTGTTTGCAGACACAAACTTGGCAATATGCATTAACTGAACATAGTTCTTGCATCAGGCAACATATCACGTGCTGTCTCAGTCACATTCTGAACTAGAAGAGAAACATGCAGATATTTCAGGATCTTTGGGAGCGCCTGTGAAAGTGGTTATTTCTTAACATTAAACTTGTTTTTTGATTCTTGAGTGCTCCTCTTCCAGCATAACCAAAGAAACATGAGAAGAGCTGCTTAACAGTTGTGTTTCAGTCTTTATGAAATAGAAATTGATAAAAATATGCACAAGGTGACTCACTTCATCAGCTAGGACGGAAAAAGGAAAATTCTGACACCGGGGCTAGGAATCATACCTTTGCTTCCAGGATGCATCATTGCATGGTGCAGAAAGAGGGAGGCAACAAAAAGCTACTGCAAATAATTGGATCTCCACACATTCTTTTTTTAAATTAATACTTCATTAAATAATGTTTTTTACATACCAAAGTTCTTCAATGAAATGCAACAACAAAATACTAAAGAAATGGTTTAATTAGCACTTCACAGGCTTTCCCTTTTATTTTTGCATTTACTAAAGATACTCTGCATACCTGGACCAGCACAGTTTGCCAAAAATCAATGTCACCTTTTTATATTGCAGGGCACCTCTCAGGCCTTCAGAAAAGCACAAAGTACCAAATCCTTCTTTAATTCAGAAAGACCTTTCTAAAAAGATGGGTACTTCTAAAAAAAAAATAACTATACTCTAAAAAAAAAAGAGGTTTTCTCCCTTTATTTAACATTCCTCATACAAGTAGTATCAGTTACACCAAAAGCATCGGCATAAAGGGAGGGGCATCTAAACTTGTCCTAGTGCAGGGTAACAAACATGCTTATTTATTGCTTCTGCTGGCACTGGTTAGGAGTTTTTTTAAAGGTAATTTAGACATTTCTTTATGAGGACTTAGAGCATGTAAGTCTGTGCTTATCTACAGTTTATTCTAACTCAGCTGTCTTGCTTGTTGTTTTCTCTAAAACCTAAAAAGCAGCAAACAGGTATCATTGTTGAACCTCTCTGGGAAACATCCTTGTGTTGTGTTTGTGTCTTGAATATTCTAGTTAAGACTGAAGCTCCAGAAAAGCCAGTCTGTTACATTCAGCTTATATAGGCCATTAAGAACAGTGAAATGCAAAGAACTTCCATTAAAACCTGTTCCACAAACAAGACAGAGAAAGCCAAGCGTGAGTAAGAAAATTAGGGTGACTTTTATCTTCAGCTTCATGAAATCCTATGAGCTGATAGGAAAACACAGTGCCTTTGTGTTGTGTTAAATAGCATTACGTGGTCTAACAAAAACCCGGTTTTGAAGGGGAGAACATAATTCAGGAAATAATGGTGTTTTCAGGAGGGGATTTCTGAACCTATCTTTAAAGTTAATGTGGACAAAGGTACAGATTCATACAAAAGCAGGAATCTGGGCATAAAGAAAGGGAACAAAAATATTTCATGAACAATGAAACTAAATCAAGAAGGTGCAGACCTTGGTCAAAGATTCTTTTTTTCCATGATTTAGGTTGACTGCTTCATAGAGCTGCCAGTAAGGGTTGAACTCCCACTTCAGCCATTCCTTCGAAATAAAAGTCTCTCTCCACTCTCTGGCTGCTATTCTCATGAGACTTGCAGAAATCGAGTATCTTTGAGCTTATTCTGATCCATCATGGACAGCTGAATTTGGCCAATGTTCTCAAAACTTATTATGGTGTGGAGAAGAAAACAGGCAACCATAGGGAAGGCATAGTCATAAAAGACTTGCTCCCTTCTGGGGCCAAAGGGAATTCATAGCTTATGAATTTAGAGAGTGCTTCTTTCCAGGATTAAAAGGAGAGGAAATATATCATAAAGGCCCTGTAGAAAATTAAGTCTGTTTACCATCTGCATGGTTTACTACTATACTCTAAAACGTAATGAGGTTTCTGCTTTTCTTGGCTTTCTTCTGTTTCCTGGATAATATAATAATGTTAAGAAAATGAATACTGAGGTTCCCCTGTCAAGGGTCTATTTCAAAGGAAATAGCTGAAAGGCCCTAACAGTCAATATATTCAACATTTCCTCAATCACCCTATTAATCTGCAATTAGAAAACATTGGCTCATTCAGTTTTGCTGTAGGACAAAAACCAGAAGAAGCTTTCATGTCCTTTCCAGCCTTTTATTCTTGTATCCTACTTATGCACACTTACTGGTTATGCTTCTAAATGGCATTTAACCACTCAGACCATTTAGACTAAGATTTTACTTGGTCTGTGTAAGTGCAGCTTGGTTTCTGTCATTCCAGAGGGAGTGAAATCAGCAATAGATGAACACTTGAATTATATTAGCTACCCCCTTTCTTTCCATTAGTTATATTTTCAAAGAACACGTTTACCCTCTATCCACTTGATGGATGAGCTGCCAGAGAAAACACTCTGGAGGAATTCAGCTTCTAAAAAGGCTGGCGTAGCAAGCAGCCATGACCTGCCTGTCATGGTTTTGAGGACAGACGTCGACTCCCATGCCCTTTATTGGGCTTTGCGTCACTGACCAGTGGACCTCTGTTTGTACAAGGTTGAGCTGGAGGAGTTGCAGTTTGAGCTGATAAACTGCTGTGCTGCAAGCCCTGGAGAACACAAGTGTCCAGAGAAGAAGCAAACAACTGTGTGAATGTACAGGGAGAATGAATGTCAGCACACTGCACAAAGACAGACAGAAATGGCTTCTGTAAGTGGAAATGCTTCTGGGAGGAAAGATACGTGTATTGTTTGCAAGTTACGAGTAAATTATGTATCATCATGGCATTCTCTGTGGGGAATCTAAAGACCTCCAGCCTGCACTGCTACTGCCTCTATACACTTCTGTTTATTTTGACATTAAATGCCATCAGAATCTATCATCTCCAGCAGAGCTTTCCACGCACAGGAAATACAGGATGGGGCTTCACATACCAAACTAAATTCATGAAGTGACCTTTGTCAGGAGTTAAATCCACCATAATGGAGGTTTTCTTTGAGATACTAAGCGTGGAGAACAGTTCTCCTGCCAGAGAATGATCTAGAGGGAATTTAAACATTAAATAGTTACATAGTAAATAACTGCAACAGAATCTTTACATTTAAAGTAATTTCTCCAGAAACATTACAATTTTTACCAGTCTGCTCACAGGAGCTTGCACAATGACTTAGGAAAACCACAGAAGAAATCCATCCAGAGCCTCAAAGTGCTTTGTATGACCCACAGTTATGTGCTCAGTAAGAACAGATGGGAAAAGGAGAATGGAACGCCATGCAAAAAGAACATTATTCAAATGGAATTCTGCACTAACATGGAGAATGACTGCAGGACATGTTCAAGGAGTGAGTTCTGGATGGGAGATGATGATAGGAGGCAGTTCTTCACTCAGCAGTGAGGAGCCTGTTGGAAGGAGAGGAGAGACAGACTGGAGGAAAAGGGAGGGCTCTGCTGTTTCCAGGAGACAAGCTGGAAAGAAGTCCAAGGGGTGAGGGTGTGGTTTGAAAAACAGGAGTACAATTTCAAACTGGAAAGCAAACAGGGCAGCTTTGGGATGCACGAAATGTCAGTTTTCTCTGTGCAAGACCGAATCAGAACTTCTGAAGTTGTTATGATGCTCTCTCTTTGCTGCACCACATCTTCATGCTGTGACTGTTGACACTGAGTTCCTAAGGCTTGCATTTATCTGTTAGGCAAAACACTGACTGACAGCACCAGAGAGCACACAGCTGGGACAGATGTAGCTCATTCTGTGTTCAGCATCAGCTCTCCAGCAGTTTGCAGTGGTCAGCCACAAGCACACTCAAGTCCAACCCGCAGAGTCCCTGTCACTTGGAGCTTTTCTTGTTCACACTCGGGCAGGTCTCCTGCTGTCAACAAGCAGACGCTCTCCCGTATAGGCCAGAATATGTGCTGGTGCCTTGTAATTTGTTTATTTAAATCAAAACACTGAACTGGCCAAACATTTGCAAATTGAACAGATTTGTAGTTAAAGGGTAATTTGAACTGATGTGGAGGAAGACTCTAAGAGGAACGCTTTAAGAGAAATTCACATTGCTTTTCCACTGAGACCTCCTTAGCTTATTCTGTGGGAAGAAGTCTAGGAACATGCACAATACATACAATATTTTTGCACGTAAATAGCAGCCCCTCCAAGGCAAAAATGCAGCTCCTCTCAGGGCTGCTCCCTCATACTGAAAAAAGAGCATCAGGCTGTCATCCATAGAAGGAGCCAGAAAAGCAAGCATTTGGAGGAGAACAACCTCTGAAAAAACAGAAACATTTACCAGGAGCTTTTCCATCTGCGTTGTTAAGGCATTGCTAGGGATTACAGCCTTCTCAGCTGCAAAGCACTGTGGCTCTGCCTTTTATAAAGGAGCAAGAGAGTAGCAGTTAGCTTATCAGACGGCTACTAGCACAGCAAGCAATTAGAGATTCAAGACCCTTTACATTTCCTGTTAACAGACTACAAACTGTAGGAGAAATACCTTAAATAAGGCCAGTACCTTTCCATTGAGAGATCCCAAGCTAAATAGAAAAGGAGGTTAGAAGATTCAGTTAAAACATCCCTGCACACAGATGACTGAAGACAGGTCAGCCTTTTTAGCAGTGGAAGCTCAGCTAGTTGCAAAGTGAAGAGAATATGGCAAAACACTTTTTGCATTTTGATTTGTGTCAAGATGTCAAAGGCTCTTCAGAGCTGGTATCACTTGCCAAGAACTACTCCTGTGACCTACAAAGCCAGGTGTTAAAAAGAGCAGATATTTAACCACAGAACAGCGTAAAGAAGGTACAAATGAGAAAGCCAGCAGCAGACCAAAGTGTGGAAAGCACTTCAACATACAGGGAGATTCCTTATTTTACTGTGAAAATCATGGGATGTTGTAATTAGGATTTGGCCAGCTGGGAGTGGGCAGGAAGCACTGTATTATTAAAATTGGATTGAAGAAATATAACACACCTTTAATTTTAATTATACTTTAAAAGATATTTGATTTCCTTAGCCAGTGATCTCTCTAGTTCATGTCAGCAGTTTGGTGCCAGGCTACTAAGAGTGATTGCACACAGTACATAGTGATTTTTGTGCATGTGTAATTCTTGTTATTAAAAATCTCAGAGACAAACCTGTTCTTTCCTTTGTCACAATTTTCTTTAAAATACAAATGATATAAAAAAATGTATCCTATAACTGTGTGCATTACTTAAGAGATCCTACTTCATTTGTGACAGAAGTGATGAAAATCCGTGGTTCATTTTTTTCCAGAGTTAATTACCCATGAAATAGAAAGCAAAAGCCAGCAATTACTTTGAATATAAATAAATTGCTTCTATGAAGTGATTGTGAGCTGACAGAGGCAAACACAGAACAAGTTCAGTGTGCCAAAATGGGCTGGTTACAGGTCACATCCTGATGTCCCACTGATGGTCTGGTCTCTGCAGCACTTTTGACTTGCCCTCATTTAGAAATTTATGCAGCTAAAAGTGAACAGCTCCTTACAAACATAGGGAGCTGGTGCTACTCAAACCCTTTTGAGGTCATGCAAAGGAAAAGTTGTCACCACCTCAGCTCCAGTTTTGCTTGCTTTTGAGAGAACACACCTTGGTGCCTAACCCGAATCATGAGTCCTGCAGGAAGAGCTACAGATTCCAGATTTCCTGAGGGATTGGGCTTTAGCAGCACATCAGTTCCAGCACCTTCTGCTACCTGTTCAATGGGCTGTCCAGGCTTTGCAGACCTTTGGATCTTCTAAACACAGCAAAGGGGTTCCCATGGCTGCAGCCTGCAACTGCATGCTCCAGTAGGAACCAAGGTGTCTCTGCAGAGCCATGCCTATGATTCCTTTGGAAACCTAACCCAGTTTTGGTAATTCCCAGCTCCATGTATTAAAAACAAATGAGGTTAAGTGAAAATAATGAGGTTTTAAATTGTAATATATTTTGAATTGTTTTAATCTGCCTTCTGGTTTTGAGTCTTCAGGGGTCCCTTGTTCAGCTTTTCTTTGCAACCCACAGCATGAGAAACTCATTTATGGCGCATTAAATCAGAGATTCTCCTGTAATCTTGTGCTTCCCAGAGCTTGGCTCTCTGAGAAAACGTGAACAACATGATGCTCCGGGTAAAACTGCTGCAGCTAGCAACACCACAGCAGTTTCCTTCTCAAAGGATTACTGTAATTTAGGAGAAATGCTGTAGCAGTAATGTTACCTTCACCTCCCTCGTCTGATGCTAATGGGCTGCCTAGGAGTGAGGGTAAAAGAGAAATGTTGATATACACCTGGCATGCTGGACCCTTCACTTCTTATGCAGTTAACTTTCCAATTTGCCATGTCAGCTCTCTGGGGAAGGAGCCACATTTCTGTTTGGAAATCCAACAGGGAAGGACAGCTTTTCAAACATACCTGGCAACGGTCACAGAACTCCTCACCCACCTTCGGGCACGGCAGTAGGGAGCACAGCCCATGTGGAGCTATGGCCCGATGAAGGGTCACTGAGCTCCTCGAGGCTCTCGGCGGCTGCACCAGGCGGTGCCGGAGCCAACCCCTGCGCCCTGATCCCGTCCACGGCTGGAAAAGGCCGCGCGTCCCCGCGCTCCGCTGGCCGGGACGAGCCGGTGTCCAACCGAGGAGGGGCAGAGCCGCTCTTTGCCACAACCAGCCGCGACGGCAGGTGCTGGGGCAGGCCGCGGGGCTCGCAGGCAAGGGTCGCAGCCGAGCTGCGGGATCAGGACCCCCAAAGCGCTGAGGGGAGCATCACCCCCGGCACCCCCGCCCCTACTGCGGGGCAGGGCGAGAGTGACCCGCGGGGCACCAAGGGCCACCAGACCCCCGCCGTGCTGCGGACAGCTGGGGAGGGGGCCGCGTCACGTGGGTGCGTGTGGCAGCAGCGGAGGGATACAGGGGCTGTGACACCCCACCGGCCGCAGCCGGGACTGGGAAGCCCCCCCATTCTTGTCGGGGTCCAGCCCCAGCCCCAGCACTAAGCGGGAGAGGGGAGCGGCAGGGGAGAGGAGGACGGCAGCGGGGTGAGGGCGGGCAAGAGGCGGGGGCCAAGAGGCGGGGGCAGAGGCGCCGCGGGGTGGGACTATTTGAGGAGACCCTGGCAGGCTGGTGAGGTGCGGAGTGATCCCGCCGTCAGAGTGAGCGGCCCCGAGCTGAGGCAGAAAAGGGCGGTGAGCCCGCGGGGCGCCATCCAGCGCGGCACTGCGCCTGCGCCGATCCCCCCTCCCCGCCGCTGCGTGGGGTGCAGCGGCGCCCGCCCTGCTGCCACCGCCGGCCCCTGCCCCGCGCCCCGGCCCCGGGGAGCTCGCCCTCAGCCATGGCCCAAATACTGCCCATTCGCTTCCAGGAGCACTTCCAGGTGAGCGGAGGGGAGCGGTGGACCTGCAGGGACGGGGTTCCCCCGCCTCTGTCTCACCCTGTCCCTGAGGAGAGTGGGGGGGCCGCGGCCTAGCCGGGCCGGGGGCGCGCTTGAGGGGTGGGGGCCGGGCCGCGGGGAAGCCTTGTGTGGTGGGCGAGCCCCCTCATTCTCTGTGGTGCGGGGCAGCCGTCCCGCTGGGCGCCGCGGAGGTGAGTCCGCTCCCGGTGCGGTCCCTGGGGCTGCCGCCTCCATCCGTCCATCCATCCGCGGCCGCTTCTCCACGGCGTGCGGAGCGACCGCGATTTGTGCAGAGTCACTCGCCGCCGGAGGGACCTCCCGCTCCGGGGAGGGGGAGGCGCTGGGCCGTGGCCGCGCTGTTCGCCCTGGGGGCTACCCTGCTTCGGCTTAGGTGGGCGCCTGAGCCTTGTAGAGAGGGATCGGGGTTGTTCTCTTTTGCCTAAGCTACTGCCAGCCTCCGGATGGCGGGGGCTCCAGGGATCCTATTTCTGTGCAGCTGGTACTGGGAGGAAATTGGTGAGATGAAGTGCAAGAAAACATTTGGACTTGAGAGCCTCTGTCCCTCGTTCCAAGCATAACTGTATTAAAAATAAAGGAAAACCCCAACTTCCCCAAAAATGACATAGTTCTGTTCTGAACAGCCTGTGAAAACCATAATGCCACTATTGGAGAAGATCCATGACTAATGGATGCAGCATAGACAAACCGGTTTATCTGTTTCCTTGTGAACTGGTGGTGAGGGAGGGTTGTAAATGGAATGAGAGCAGCAGGCTCTGAACATGCAGTTTGAGGCAGGAATTAAAGGAATTTGCTAAATGAATGAGAGAACAGGAAGTGGACTTGGCAAGTCATCCTTCTGTCTCTGGACCGCCCCTTTATGTCAAATCAGGCATCCATTTCAAATTATGAACTGGGTATCGTCCCTTGGTGTGGACTTTGTGCCACTTGAAGCATTTCAGCTTGGGAAATGGTTATTGCCACTTCCAGTGTCCGTTGGAAGTGTTTTTCTGCTTGACTGGAAGGACTGTCTTGGTCACTCTAGAAGGAGCCCTAGCCTGGGAATAGGACTGGGAAACTCCATAAATACCGAGCCTCTGTGCCCAAGGGAGCAGGCACTCGTGTCTCCTTGGAGTTGTCATGGGTTAAGAGGGTTTAACGTAGTGCAGAATTATACTGTTGCTTCCCCACCCCAGCCACTGTCCAGCATAGCCGTGATTGTTGTAAACTCAAATGAATTCCTAGGAGCTGCAGTACAGCTGAGTAAGAAACCAGGGATCAAAGTGTTTTGACATCAAACTCTCTTTAGAAGGAAGCATGTAGTTCTCACAATTTAAAACAAGCAGACATAACCAGTTCTGCTGATTGTGTTTAGTCTGTACAACGATGATGAGAGAACATCACACTTAATATGCCATGGGTGTAATATGCTGCTTTGCCTGTTAAATGACTCTTTCTGTGAAGGCTGGGGTTGTGTGTTGTGCAACACTGCCAATATTAGCATTGTGGTACTTCTGTTTTGGGTGGGGGGCTAGCAGCTTCTCAAGGGATTTGTACTGAAGTCATACTCTATTTTTTGCTACCACCTGCTTTTGCTCTTAAATAATTTGATCTTATTGAAAGAGCTAAACCTGTGCTTAAGGGAGTTTTTCTTAGCATGGAGGAGCAGGAGAGGCCTTGGGACTCTAGCTGCTAATATGTAGGAGTAACGTCTCCTTCAAGATTCAGTTTTTCTTGCTTCTCCCCCCAGTCTGAATGTAGTATCTCCAAAGCAGTAGTCTTAGCAAAGAGAAATTGAGATTAGTAGGAGCTGGGAGTAGGAATGCAGTTAGCCTCCTCAGTGCTGCTTCTGCAGTTGTCTCTACGTGGTGGGATAAATGGGGAGGGAAATCAAGAGGCATGTGGGAATTGTAGTGTTTGTTCTGGCTGGGTATCTGCAGTACAGTTTTATCAGCTCTAACTTAATATTATGTATTGTAAACATCTAGAGTAATGAATAAATGATACATGTGCTTATTGTTGACTGGTAGGGAATTCATGAAAACATTAAGCCTCCACTCCTCTTCGTAATGTTTCTCTATTACTCATATTTAGCTTTATCAGCTCAATATTTTTGTTTTCCTACATTATGTTGAAGAAAGTGTCTTGGCTACAGTTTAATTGTTGTATTTAAAATTAGTGTAACAGGTCAACTACACTGCTTTATGATGTTAAATCCAAAAATGTTCCAATTCCTTATAATTGTGCTGTGTTTCATTAAATCTTTCTGTACCATAAGTCAATCTGTGTAGCCTGTATACCTGTAGCCATTTTAATTAATATGGTATTAAGTAGTTAGAAGAGCTGTTAGCAGTATAATTACTCAATTCCATATTCAGCCTGTTGCTGATGAAACATCGTTTCACTTAAATTCAGAGTCTTCCTGAGACAGTTGCTGTACTTCACTGAAAGAACAACTGAAGCATGCAGAAAGTGCTCTCCAGAGAAACTAAACATAAGTTGCAGTGCTAAATACTGAACTTCTCTCCCACTCCCTGTAGCTGGAAGTGGATAAACGTGTTATAAAGTGAAACAGTGATCTTGGGCCATGTAAAATTGGAGTAGTACAAAGGACCAGCAGACTGTTTACATTCCTTGTGAAGCTTATTTTGCTTTATGTTGATCATCCTTCTGACTGAACTGTAGCTCCAAGCCTGTGCAGGAGGAATGCCTGCCAGTCACAGTACACATTGAATTTGAAGTTGTTACAGCTTGTGCATTCAGTTCCTGTGGGAGGTGGAGAATAGCTGCAGTGAAAGAAAGATCCAGGATTTGATATAGTAGTAGTCAAGCTGAGAATTAACACAAGTCTTACTGTTTGTTTAGCTCTGGTTTAATGCAGTTGAATAGTTGCTTTTAGATGTGAAATCTGTAGCTGTGAGTCTTCACAAATTCATAAAGAACTTGCATTTTGCTCATTCTTCCTATAGAGGATGTTATAGTTCAGTCCCCTAGCAAGGGAGGGGGATAAGGACTTAGTTTTTATCTGTCTGGTGGCTGACCAGCTGCAGTAGTCCAAACTGTGGCAACCCTGCTATAGTGAAGTACAGGTGCATGCTGCTTAAGCTGCTGTGGTTTAATCATATTCTTAACTCCAGTGCTTCTGTTGGAGCAGTGAATTATAAATTATTCACTAGATTGAGCTCTTCCAAAGGGATTGGAGTTTACAATGGAAATGCTGTAAAAGACTAAATACACCAGTGTGCAGACTGGAAACAGTACTTGCTGTAATTCAGTGTACAGAGTGTTCTTGATCTAAAATTAAACTTTTTCTTAGTCATTGATTTGCTTTTAAAAGCTTGTCTTTGTCCCCTTTTTTATTTTCCTTCACTAGGAAAGATATGTGCTTACCTGCAGGGAAAACTTGCTTATACAAATCTCAGGTTCCTAGGTTGGGGATTTCATCCCTTAGATGGATAGACACATAGATCTGTAGGCAGGGTTCTCCCTTCTAATGAGTAACTAATGCAGGCTCTTGAACAAAGCCAGCTAATGTGCAGAAAGCTTGTGTGTATGGCATGTTCTTGACACATAAGTTTTATGTGGCTTGGTGCAACACTGAGAAGCTAAGGTATCCTGGTTTGAAACATAAAGGATGTAGATTTACTTCTGTCATTTTCTGGACAAAAACACTTTCTGTTTGGTTAGTCAGAGATGTCTTGTTAAGAATTGCTATCTGTTGTGCAATAGGCATAACTGAGCTGAAGTGTAATGGCTTTCATGAATTTGCTTTGGCTAGACATGTGGACTTGAAAGCACTCAGGATATTTGCAAGTTGTAAATGGCTTCTTGGACTTGTATTCAGACAGTAGAGCTGAATATCATGACATAATTCAGCTATTTAGTGTTGAAGATACCATGTTTGCTCACTGGATCTCTTAAATGCCCTATAGGTTGTAGGGAGACTCATTCAATAGATCTAATCGTCATCACAGATATACAGGAACAGATTTTTGTGTAGGGAGTAACTGTCACTTAAGATGAAAGCCTAATTGCAGCTGCAACTAAAACTTGTGAGCTCATGGTCTTCCATGTTTTAGCTCTTGCATACTTCCTCACCTGTTAAGATTGGAGCTATAGGAGATGAGGTTAGCCTATTGAGAGAGGTTATTGAACCACTGTATGCATATTCTTATACAGCATTATTATAACTCTATAGAGTCACCTGAGTAAGAGTTCTGAGAAACTGTAT